CCCCCACCCCTTACCCCTACCCACTCGCCCCTCCCCAGCAGACCCTACACTCCAGGCACACCAAACTTCCTGTGACATGGAAGTCAGGCAAGAATCAGGTAGAGTCAAAATCATCCTTGAATATCCCTGAAACAGCCCATAAAGCACATTTGTGTAACACACCCCTAAAATGTAATTCTTACACACTAGGGATTCTTTATAAAACCAAAGTTTAATCGATCCACTGCAGGCATGAGCACGGGAAACTTCTATATGCAGTGGGGTGGGGACTGGGGTTGGATGGCTAATTCTGGTGTTCCTGCTGCCTGCAAGAACTGCTCCACTCTTACAGAGTAAGCCTCTCTGGCCTTAACATAGATTTCTTTGTTTCAAGAGGATGAAGAGAGTCAGTTCTCAGCTCAGTCCACTGGTTAAATGTGAGTCCAATGTGACTGCAGTGGATTTGCAGCTTCCCCCAAAACATCAGCTCTTTCACGCCGTCACAGCTTTGCAAAGATTCAAAGGTGCAAAGGGCTGGGATTTTCTCCTGCCTGTACGCTTCCTCCAACAGTCTCTTACTCATCATTTAAGATCCAACTCAAACATCACCTCCTCTTTGGTGATGCCCATGCCTTCCTCCATCGGCTCTTGGGCTCCCACAGCTCTTTACCTGGACTTTCAATCATATGGCTCAGGTGTTAACTGCACCTTAATTATCTGTTTCCATGTCTACTTGTACTGAGCCCTAAGCTCTTGGGCACAGTACCAGCCTAGGTGCCCAGTACAGAGCTTGGCACACAGAGGTCCTCAGCCAGGGTGAGTGGAGGAGGGAGTGATGCAGCACAGATAAAAGCTGCAGGGCGGACCTTGGGCATTCCCTAGATCTCACCGGTCTTTTGTCCCTGGCACAGGTAACCCTTCCTTGGCCAGGCAGGTCCAGCCTGGGCTGTGGCTTGAACTCCCACCCCACTGGGGCCATGGATGGTTGTGTGTAAAGCAGCCAGGAGGAGGAACGTCTAAAATACTTTGAAAATGCAAAGCCCGGCTATGGTGTGACAACACCAGCTAGGTGGCCACTGGCTCTGTCTGCAGGGTAGATAGTATTTTAATTGTTTCTATCTTAATTGCTTGGAGAAGTATACATTAAAAAGCAAAAACAATTGAGGCTATGTTTAGCCCTTGTGTTTTCCCCTAGTTCAGGGAACAGAGAGCGATTTGTCGGGTTGGGTCACCAGACAAAAGAAACAGGAATAGTAGCTAATTTTTAATGGCAAACGGCCCTGAACACTAGGCCCCGACGTCAGGCTGTACAAAGGAACTCCGTAGGGCTCCGAGGAGAGGATACGGACGCCCCCGCCCCTCCATTCAGTATCACTTCTGCACAAACAACTATAACTCTTTCAATAGTGACAAAGGCCGTGGACGTGGGGAGTCCAGTGAGCAGGCGTCACATGGTGTGGCGGGAAGGGTGTGGGCCTGGGTTCTAACCTCAGCTCTGCAAGTTACTTAATCCCTCAGAGCCTCGGTTTCCTCATCTTAAAAATGAGGGTGACAGATAGAAACCACCTCTCAGAGCTACTATGAGAGAGAACCGGTTGCCTAGTCCGGGGCCTGCAAGGACCGCAGCCATCATGACGACGGTGACCACACTGGAGAATGCTCGGCGCTGGGGCTCAGCTCTCAGCCCTGGGGTACCAGTCTCGGGGGGTCCTGGCAGGAATGGGAGACTGTGTTCCACACCCGGATCTCTCAAAGTGTGGTTTCAGGACCACCTACAGGAGGGTCCTTTGGGGTATTTGTTAAAATGCAGATTCCTAAGCCCAGGCTCTGACTTG